AAGCTTGGTCTCTCTTTGGTTTCCCAATGTGCTGGAGGAGCTCCTGGAATGAACTGCGGTCAATGGTGCTTCAGTCATGATTGGAGATCAGATGGTGGGATGATGGATCAGATTCAAAGAAGGCTTGTCTGAAGCCTTGTGACTGAACAAGATGCTGATGCTGGCGCTCTGTTGAAGATGAAGTGAAGATGCTGAGGCAGAGGAAGCTCGTCAAGGTCCATCAAGTGAAAATCAACAAGAGGCAAAGGCATGGCGGCAATGGCAACAGAGGCAACAGTAGAAGGACCGGCAACAAGAGGAGGAGCTTGATGGACCAGTCAATCGAGTCAATCGAAGCTGGAATTTATGAGTAGTTGGATCCTCGTTGGATTCGACGTGGTCGGACTTGGCGAATCCTTTGAGTAGTTTGAATTCAAACGACGCGGGTACAGATCGTACGGAGCGATCGATCGCGTCGGATGCCACAGCGAATAAACGACCAACTGCAAGGAGGTCAACCAACTGCAAGCCAGTTCAAACGACCGGATGCCAGTCTAGTAACCACATCAACAGCATCGAGCGATCGATCAAATCGTTCCGTGGTTGAGTTAATGAAAAAGTGAGGAGCTGAAGCATGACTCAGATTCGAACTGATAATAGGAGGCAAACAGGCTTCGAAAGCATGACTCAATGCATGACACACAGGCGAGTCTCATATATGCAGTCGGAGCTCATTTTTCGACAAATTCTGTTAACTCTCATCGCGCCTCTGTTAACTTCTCGATCTCGACTCTTTATCGCGGCCGATCGATCCTCGATCCATGCTGAAGTGAGCATGGAGCGCTGATGAGGCGAATAACAGTAATAGCAGTGAATTACAGTATTATAGCGGTTCTTTACCGCTTGGGATGTAAAAGGTGGACTCCATAGAGTCCGGCCCCATCGCGATTTCGATCAACGACAGGTGAAAGGTGGACTCCTGTAGAGTCCAGGTTGTGATTGCTACGACGAATCACCAACAAGGAGATTGCTTACGAGCGAATCCAAGGGAATAAGTGAAATAAGGGGAAGGACTACCGATGAAGATAATGAGAGGAAATCAGGACTCTGCATCAAGGGATAGCTCATTCCATTGACAACCATAAGGATAGACATATAAAATAAGAATGAGTGACATCTATAACTCCATGCTCATGCGACAATACCATTGTGCATTGATTAATCTAGGGATCTAAGAGATGTAAAGTTTGTATTTCCAAATAAGTGAGCAGTTATTGATTATTTTCTAGAATAAGCCTGCTAATTGTAAAGCTGTAAAGCTGAATTGTAAGCTGTATCCCGTCGCAATATGCAGCTCATCCAAATCAGTGAGGAGGCCCAGGGAACTAGGCAGTGACCCAGTGAGCTGATTCCCGTCGACCTTGAAGCGCTTCAGTCCAGTCAAGTTGATCCTACATCAGAGGGCAAAGACCCATGAAAGTGATTGCGCGAAGTAGATACCTCCCTTAGGTTGGAGAGCGTCCAGAATTCTTTTGGAATAGTGCCCGACATTTGATTGTCAAATATTCCAAAGAACTTGAGTCTGGAAAGCAGACCAACTTCCGAAGGAATGGTGCCGGTGAGTGAGTTCCGAAACAACTGAAGTTTCCAAAGATTAGTCATTTTGCCAATCTCTGTAAATATAGGACCGCCAATCATATTGCAGGGCAATTTCAATGGAATCCAGGTGTGAAGAGAGCAAACTTAGCTCCACTGGTAGTGACCCACCCAGTTGATTTTGCATTAGTGCAAGGAAAACAAAGGCTCCAGTCTCATCACACGCGGTTTTGTCACGGAATACAGCTGTGGAGAACCAATCACATATTGAGTGGTTTGACAACCAAGGCTCTGAAGTAATGTTGACCTCATTCACAGTAGACTCGTCTCTTCCAGAGCCTGGAACAACATCACCACCCCCCCCCCCCCGCGCCCGTAGCAAGGTTATTGACGCTTGTGCTGACAGCGACTGTTCCACCTCCAGAGTGTGTCCATTTGTTTCCTTTCGTGGCAAAATAGAAGCACGCAACTACATATTATCGACGCATGAGAATGTCGCGTCGGGATCGGTGTGGGCTGTCAAATTGGTGTCCTGCATCATCCACTCGTATGCCTTTTTCTGTGGGGTTGTTCCATTGATATCCTGTAGAATGGTAAACAGGGTATCATTTGTAGGTTGAAAGGGCAACTGCCAAGTCCAGGATGCTTCCTCTTCCTTCATTGTGTTGTTCGTCGCGTTGCTGTTGCTGCTGCCGGAGAGGACTGTATTATCATCCGAAGATCCCTTCAAAACAAATCCCAACACCAAGCCATTCCCAGCATCGCTAGAAGCTGTTTATGCCTGGATTCCTTGGTTTTGCGGTCGATCTCCGACAAATCCACGGGTTGTGCCTGTGCCATCCTTTGGTCAAAGCTTTCACTCACTGGATCTGCTTGTACCAAACCTTCATGGTCATCTGCCAAGTCTCGTTCGTGGGCTATGATGATGATTATCGGTGGACGGTGGAGAAAGAAGACGTTCCTCCAATCATAATAGACCGGTCATCATCGCCTTCCTCGTAGTTGAATCCAGCCTGTCGGTAGGCTCCAGGTTCGACAGGAGGATGCCTCATATTGTGTGGAGTACGCTCCAGTGTGGTATGGGGTAGTGCAACGGTATCACCAAACGCTTCAAGGGATTTAATTCCCTTCAGCTGGCCTTCTTCCATTTATTACCGTTAACGTGTCTCCAGAGGACGAGAGCGCTTCATTTTGGTATCTTCCTTTACGGACTCTTTTGGTTGCTCTTGCTTTGGAGACAATGACTTTGAGAGCTCTTGCTTGGGGGCAGGTTCCATCATGGATTGGGGGCTTTCAGAAAGGTAGTTGAATGGATTGGGTAGATGAGTAGATTTAACCGACGAGCCGTTAGAGACTTATAAGTAGAGCAAAATATCAATAAGAACAAGCAGCCTGGGGCTGATGCCCTCAACTGTCAAAAAGAGATTTGATTGGATTCCCCAATCGAATCCTTAACATCTTTGGTCAAATCCTTTACCGTGTTCAACTGGACACACTAGCAAGTCTCCATAGCCAGCCAGTAAGGGTCCAAAGTACTGTGTCCAACAGAACACACAATATCAATCCCTATCCTTAACAAGGAAAATGTCCTTATGTCTTTGGCAAAACTTACACCGTGTTTATCTGGACACACTAGTGAGTCTGCATAGCCAGCCAGAACTGGTACCCATATGTTGAACTACTGTGTCCAGCTGAACACACAATATTAATCCTATCCTTAACGAGGAAATGTCCCTATGTGACAAAACAGCTGCAACAAACACACACACACACACACACACACACACACATAGCGATAAGAACAGACAGCCGAAGGCTGATGCCCTCAATGTCAAAAAAGAGATTTGATCTTTGGCCAAATCCAACACTGTGTTCAACTGAACACACAGTTACTGTAGTCTATCGATAGCAACCAAAACACACACATTGGTACTCGGAGTATGTTTTACCGCTAACAATTAATATTTACTCATCCTTTATGACGGACGTACAGACTAACTGCACACATACTCTGGTACTCAGGAATGTTTTACCTGCTAACAATTATTATTACCCCATCCTTTATGGCGGACGTACATACTAACTTGCACCACACATAGTTTGGTACTCGAGTATATTTTACCAACTAAATAACAATTATTATTTACCCCATCCCTTATGCCGGACGTACAGACTAACTTGCACACACAGCGACGTACAGACTAACTTGCACATACAGCGATAAAAGTGTGAAAGACCCTCAGTCGGTTGAGGGCAAAGTGTGAAAGACCCTCAGTCCGTTGAGGGCAATGACCCTAATCAATTAATTCAACAAGTCCCCAGAAACCATGTGGTTGCGTTGACTTACTTGATTGAAGATTTAGAGAAGGTGAGCATTCCGTTAAGTAAGATCTCCAAATCAATTGCCTCGCCGGGAAGGCAACGAGGGTAGGCAATTGAGTTAGTTTTCCGGGTTCCTTGTGCGTTGAGGGCCACTCTTGGCTCGTCTTGGCCCGTTGAGCCAAGAGTGGCAGTTAAATTTATTTAAGCCCCATGACTTCTTCTCATCCGCCAATCCATTCAACTTTTCTGAAAGCTCCCATTCATTCGATTCGATTCGATTCATTTATCATCCAATTGCTGCCCCGCCGCAGCTCGCACTCCCGCGATATATAATATGGGCGCAAAACTGTCATCGATCATGCCAATTGGAGAACTCAGTCATTGCTACCTTGCTCTTCACCAGTGACATATGCCTCCTAAGCGCTCACCACTCAAAGCTTTAATGTAATATTAAGCTTTAACGCTTGTACACTGGTACCAATGTACCAATACAGCCTAATGGCACGTCTGAACGCTCGCTGGAGCACAGGATGTGGCACCAGGAAAAGAGCGACATATCCTGTTGTCATTGGGTGTCAGTGGGGCATTTACCAGTATGTCAGTATGTCCAGTGCTTTCCCAGGGGTTATGGGAAACTATAGGATTACACACCACTATTTAATTAATAAGGCCCCACACAGTCCTGGGCCTGGGCCTCCAAGCACGGAAGCACGGAACGCGAATAGGTCAAGGTTGGACTAACACAGAACATTCAACATTTGGTTCCCCCATACCCCAGGTATTCAGGTGAGCTGCTCAAGCAAAAAACCGGTATGGTGAGTGGTACATGTACGTACTATTTAATAGTACCGGTACGATACCGTAGCTCGTACGATACGATGTACGCTGGTACCGCAATCATGTACCGTACTCCCCTGGTTGATACCAGTTATTTTACGATCACATTTTTTAGAAAGCATCGTCGAGAAATGAATTCACGTGTTCTCAGTTCGTAAATCTATTGCTAGAATTTGGAAGAGGTGACTCTCCTCTTAATAATTGGCCCTGCAAAATTTACTATGAGCCGTACATTTTACATGGGTAGTGTGCGTTTATTTCTTGTCTGGGTTCCGCAGGATTAGGATGCTCCCAGAACCGAGCGTCTGATCTTGGTTTGACTTGACGCAACTCGTGCATGCGGCGCATGCGGCCACACAACGACCCAAAGCTAGCTAGCTAGCAAGACGCAAGAACGGGATTATCAAAGGACCACTCCGACTTTGGCACCTGGCCACAAGCAGAAGAAGTGGCTCGCAAAAAGATAAAAAGATTCTTGCTTCTGTGCCCTTGTCAGCATATTGAAAGCATCGCGACAGTTTAGGCTCATTAATCCAGATTCTACATCTCAAACAGCACATCATGTCCAACACGCCAACAATCGCCACCAACACAACACCTCGCCCTGCTGCTGCAGCAGACGAGGGCGTTCGGGTCTCGTTCAACGAAAACCCCTCTCTCTTGTTGATCCCTCCTGTTCAGGATTACACAACGAGTGAAGTGGAGCAGCTGTGGTACACCCCCGACGATCACGAAGAAATCATGGAAGACGCCATGGACGTTGCCAATGGATGGAACTACGAAGGCGACTCCACCCGAGGCACAGAGAAACTCAACCGCATCACCGGAAAACAGTCGGAACAACGCCGCAAACACATTGTGAGAGCCGTACTACAAGAGCAACATAGACTGCGAAGCAGTGGACAAGAACCTCGATTGAGTCTTTTGGCCAAGGTAGCCACTCCGATATCCACAGAGGACCAGAGCACCGCCTATGAACGAGCATACAATGACGAATTGGAAAGTTTGCCCCGCAAAACCTCACAAGCCAAGAGTAATAACGAGGTTGTTGTCGTCAAGAAAGGGTTCATGTCGAGCGTCTCTCGAATGTTTGGCGTTGGGGGTGATTCCCGGAATTGCTCGCCTCCTCGAATGCTTTAGAAAAGCAAGATGCCACTGCATGTCCCTCATAGAAATGGAAGGACGATGAGCGCCTGATCCTGTCTGCACCAATAGAACGTACCATAGAAAAGCTAAAAGTAAAACCAACCAAACAATCAAACAAACAAACAAACAACCTTACGTAACTCTCTTTGTAGCTGGCCTACTAGGGCGCAGCAACCAGAGCTTGGACCCGAATCACCCTGTTGAACCCCTTCAACATCTCATTGATGCCACACGCTTTCGGGATGCCAATGCGGCTAGTGGGTGTGCTGGGTCTGAACTTGTTGGTGGGAATCCCTGGCTGTTCCGAGGCTACGGTAGCGGTAGCGGGTTGACCTGCCTTGCATCAATGGATGTTGAGTATTTCCTTGTCGTACCGGTAGAACAATGTCGTACCGGTAGAACAATGGGGATTGTGTAGGCCTTTCAAATTCTGGGTGGGTGCAGCATGCCATGGCAACATTATGAAGTGCTTCCCGTCGCAACAAAGCTAGCTGGTGGTAGAATGTATGGGAAAGCGGATAGACTGGGTTCTTCGTGTTTCTGGGGAGCATGCATAGAGACTTGTCGGAGAGTAGTTGCTAGCTTATGTTTGGATTGCATTTCGTCCTCTTGGATGGGTCCCTTAGGTGAATAGCCGACAGGAGTGACGACAAACTGGGTAACTCAAAAACAAACACAACAAGGAAAGCAAGAAAGAGTACCGTTAGCATGTTGTTTGTACCGGAGCAGGCGAACATGCTTGTGTGATAAAAGAAAGGAAGGAGACGAAGCGACATCCGCAGTGCAACTCAGCAAAAAGTGAAGAGTTAGCTTCAGTGCTGATAATGTTGCCGACTGACAAGGGTGCTCTCCCTAAAAGCGCCAGTATGCAAGTGGCACATTGCATCGAAACAATTCCCTTCGTCAGACAGTCTCACCATTAGCTAGCTAGTGTTTATTTCTCGCATATTGTTGCTTTCATGCAGTCCTACCAGTGCAGGTACGGTACCGACAGCATGTCATTGCCCATTTCATTGCTATGCATACATGAAAGAGCTCATGAAAGCATCTCATTACTGGTGAGCTCACGAACATCTTCAGCAATAGTGGAGACGATCCGCAGGGTTGGTCATCGACGTGGAACACACCGTGGCAAGCAAATCTCTAACCCTTTCTTTGCGTCAACACACAGAGCAGTCAGCTCACAAGACCCACCGGCACGCACGTACCAGGTTCCCGGTGCAAGAGCAAACAGGACAACAGGACAGTGACCCTGCATACACTGTACTACAATCGTACCGGTAAACGCAACCCAAGCCGTGCTCGAGCAAGTTCAAAAGCGATTGCGGCTGTGCTGATAAGACCGATTATTTGCAACTTGCAAGGCACAAACGGCGAGATCACGATTGCCTCTTGGTGTGTTTGTTACAAATCCATCTTAGCTCCATCATCATGGCTATCCCCGCAACATCTGGTTCCAATAGTACCGCAGCCAACAGCGGTGAGTCGTCCACTAATGGTATTGGCACCACCGGTCCCATTGCCACATCCACGGTTGACGTCAAGTCGTCCATTCACCGGTTCAAATGCGTTTGCTTTGACAACCAGCCGTCCTATTTCGAGATCATTTCATGCTATGATCTCTCGGATACGGAAAAGGAAGCGGCGTGGTTTCAACAAGCAGAGCTGCGAAGCATACAAGCCGCGGCCATGGACCCTGAATCCCAGCAGCTGTCGGAAGGAGAAGATCCCGGTTCCTTGCGAGGACTGGAGCGATACTCGACGGCCGGTTCTACTCGCTTGGAAATCCATCGAATCCAAGTGGTAGCCGCTGTATTACGAGAACAACAACGACAGCGAACGAGCTTCCGCCTGGGCTTTCGAAAAGCTGACGAATTGCTGGCGGAAGCTTCCGCAAAATTATCTCAAGAGTGTCAAGATTTGGCCTACATGCAAGGGTACAATGATGAAGTCGAAGCCTATGCTGGTTCTTGTGCCGTACAGACCGACGTGGTCGATATCCCAAAGCCCAGTTTCTTTGGTGGCCTAAGAAAACAGGTGCGGGCGCTGTCTGATTTGGCCTTTTTGGAAAGCCAAAGCAGAGGGAAACGATGATGAGATGAGTGCTACCGAATGTATGGTCTCATCTCAGTACGATGAACCAATGACAGACCCGGGAAATTGAAAATTAGAAATCGAATATCAAGGCAAATCGAAACAATCCGCTGATGATGATTATGCATATATGTATACACCCTTTGTCTTGACATCCTGTGGTTTTTCAACACTTCCAACGAGTAAACCAATCAACCCATGTCTTCGTAGGGGCTCGTGAGGCACACTGCAACTAGTGCAGTCATCACCATGCCCACTATCTTTCTTATAGCTACAAGGCGCTGCGGTGCTTGGGTACTGTTGGGTGTTTACTCTGCAGTTTATTTTTTTAAAGTAGTACCATGAGGAATCCTAGCCTGTATCTCCGTCCCGCTGCGTGGCAATGACTACTCCACTTTTTAAATTTTGCGTCGAGTTTTCGTTGTCAAGAAGTAGCCATAGGCTCGTGTTAGACGTTCTCAGAAGGCTGCTCGCGAGTAGTGTGCGGCTTGCCTTGGAAATCGATTAATTAATTGTGTTCAGGGTACCTGGTAGAACACTCCCTTCAGATTGTCTTTTGAGTTGCCGTTTCCAAGTCAGGCATTGGTAGGGTCAGATAGCATATTGTCATTGTCGCTCATGAAGGCATTCCAAGTCCGTTTTTATTATAGCAGCCGTGTAACCATGATGTCTGTGAGCCGGAAATTTCAGCACCAGCATCTTTCTTTCTCCTAAGGCTTTCAAATACTATCAACGTGGGAATCCAACGTTGTAGAGAGGATTCTGTGCAATGAGTAAGCACTGTCTAGCATCAACAAAGCTTGATTGACTGTTGGCAACCCAAAGCAAGATGTCGCAGGGGGCTTCTGCTTTGACATGGCGAGAGATTGAGAAGGAAATGAGAACCAGCCAGAATGTCATATGAAGCAAATGTTGTTCTCCTTGACCTGACAATTGTAGCCTGGATGTATCTAGCTAGCCAATGTTGTGGTCACTCTAGCTAGAGCGGCTAGCTAGCTACTGCAGCCAAGAGATAACCCCCAGAAGTGTTTGAAGGGAAAGGAAGAGAGGACGGGCACGCAATACTCCGTATCATATAGCATTTCGGATGGCTTAAACATACACAAGTGTAGCGTGTCCCGTCGACAACATGACTTGACTGTCAGTCGTAAAGACTGAAACAAGTCACGAGCTCTCTCTCCGGGCCACGGTACCGTATGTACTGTACCGTACGGTCCGGTATGTACCAGGTCCACGTTGCGCTACCGATGGGTCGATTGGTTGTTGCGATCAGGAACACTCTGGGAAAGGTGCGGAAGATAGTGAGAGAGACAAGCCTGCACTAGCCGCAGTTCATCAAGCTCCCCAAACTGAAGCCACAGTCAGTGGACTACGTACAGGCATGATACCTACCGAAGCAACAGGACCTGCAACCGCAATAAATTTTCCAGCCCGGACATCACTCAGCTTTTGGATGAGGACCAGATCCCTTCCGCTTGGGTGGCATGGCAGGTTGTCTTTCCTTGCAAGCTACTCAGTACATGTAAGAAGAGCAGCTGAAGTGGCAACCCAGAACCGACGCCCGAGCCAAACATGAGAGCTACAAAGCCAATGTTAGAACCATGATCGACAGCCCCATGCTGGCCCAGACATCACGGGACTATTGCCCTGATCTTCCTTCGGCTAGGCCAACTCAGAGGCCATTGCCTGCCTGGGCACACAAATGGACCATGTTGGCATTTTAAAACGCTTCCAACATTGCTACCCCATCAGCCCCAATCAACTCCCACCCCAACTGCCCCAACAAAGGATCTGTTATTGGCATTGGCAGCTGCGAATGGGCGAAGCGTGAAGGAGTCGTGAAGGTGGGCAGCTGAGCTGCAGCTGCCAATAGCTCGGCCAATGCTTCTTACTGCGTACGTGACAATCCTGGCACAGGAAGTCCCACCCAAATGCTTCGGAAAGGTGTTTCTTATTTTACCCGCTTTCACAATTCTTTTCTATTTGACCTGCCATTGACCATTGACCACCATTGTATAATTGGGAACTGAAAGAGGTGACAATCATGTCTGATCGTTAAGCAGCTTGGTCATACTTGGTCGTTGTTTTGGCTTGTGCCTTCTAAAAGGAAGAAACACTAGGTTTACAGCTAAGACTGATTACTTAAGATCAAATTGAAGTGAGTAAATCTCTCTGGTCACCCCCGGCTTGGATCGTTTGTTCTTTCATGGTTCCATGATGTCGATTGGGAAGGCAACGTGGTCAATCTAGCCGGTTGAAGAACTCAAGTTCTGCAGCTAACTTTCGTGAGCTCGTTCGTGTGAATTGCAAAACCATTGCTTCCGTATTCCGTATACCCAGGCTCATCTATCTATCTCTGTGCGTGGTCGTTGGGCATATCACTCTTCGTGTATTGCCTTGATGATCAACGACCCAGCTAGGCAGGTACTATTATAAAGATAGATATTCTGCAGCCACATTTTACTCAAGTCTCGTTTTAAAATCAATATCTTCACGATGAGTTCTTCGCTTAGCAGCAGCAACAACAGCAACAGCAACAGCGCTAGCAGCGGTCCCAACATGGAAGAAGTAGGCTACGAGGACTGCGCACCGACCACAGCTCGACGCCGAGGCCCAGGAGGTACTAGTATTCGTCGTGTCAAAACCATGGAACCCACAACCATGGAGCGTCGCCGAAGCAGTTTGTTTCACGTTCAGGGCGTCGGCACAGAAGACGAAGAACCCGCTCCCTTGATGGCGGATCGCAGCGCCGCTCGCAGAAAGAACCGTCGTCGCAACGGTGGACGTCGCGGCAGTGTGGCCCATGTTCGTGCCACTCCCGTCCCGGAAGAAGAAGAAGCAGAGGAACAACACCAGATGGCTCCTCGTCGCCGATCCTTCACAGGCCTCATGGAAGCCATGGATTCTTCCATTTCGGGACTCATGGAAGATGTGTCGTCGCGATACCATTCCTCCAGAAACAGTAATTCGTCACCGCGAGTGGGCCGTCGAACTGGCGGTCGTCGCAGTTCCATCTTTCACGTCAACCAAGTGGATGGCAAGGGCACACTAGAGGAACATGAATCCACCCACAGTTCTCGGTCCAAGTCGCGAACACTCAAACTGAACCCCTTTGCCCGCAAGTCGTCGACCGGCAGCAGCAGCAAGAGCCATAATAAAAAAGAGAAGAAGAGGTCCAACAGTGGCCACAAGAAACAGCAGGACACTGAGAAGTCCAGCGAAGACTTGCTCAAAGAACTAGAACAACTGGCACGAGCTGTACAAAAGAATCCTGAATCACGCAAGATCTTGCAGCAACACTTGCAGAAGCAGCAGCAGGGTCCGCCAGCCTATGTCAGGGCTGCGTGAGATGATGTGGTTCATGCATGAGTTTGACCGGCGTTCATTTGCTCTGTTTGGTCCTGCTAGAGCCTTTTACATAAGTACCTTCAGCTTCCCATCTTCCTCTCTTATTCCATGGCCGCAAAATATACATACTATGAACTATAAACACTATTGATAACCTACTATACAATATTATACATGTTTTGATGATCTAGCTAGGAGCTGTGATTGGTGCGCTTCGTTCTTTGGCAAATCCACGCCAGGGCTCGTGCCAGCTACCGTTTTATGGGTTACTGATGGTAGCGCCCTTCTCAAACCCGACTTCTACAACAACTTGAGGCTTGATTGACGGTGTAATTTGTTTTCTTAGAATCTGCGTTCTACTAGTACGTTTTGTTGACTTCCCCCTCCCTGCTTTTCCTGTACTGTTCTGCTCAGGTTTTTTGTTACTTGCTACTAGTAGCCGATCACGGCCTCTCTTTGGAAACTTGTTGTCGTCGTCTAGGATCGAAATTCTGGAACGAACGGAGCCAGTTCTCTCGCAGGAACACACTGAACTGTGGCCTTCTTCTCTGGAGCTTGACTACTAGTAGAGTCCACTCTTGTTACGATAACCATGCAGTCACCAAACCCATGTTCCACAAAGAAAGCGCGAGCTTGTGCAAAGAGACCATGAGGGATTCCAAACTGGTCCACTAGGACAACCGCCACGGGACGCGCCTTTTTGTTGACAAGGATCTGAGACGCCAACTGACACGCAGCATCCAACGTGCAGCCGTATTCCAGTGCTTTGATTTGTGGGGCCTGCACAATATATATTTGTGGAGGATCTGTACTACCGGTGGTAGTTCCAGCAGAACAATCAACAATGGCAACGGCAGCCCCATAGCGCATGGCATGCAATGAATCTCGAATGTCCTGCTGAGAGGCATTTTGTGCGGCTTGTATCAGATTGGACATCTGAGTATGAGACAATCCAGTAACTTGCAGTTGCTCTACTTGCTGCTGAATGGATGATTGTAGTGTCCGCCCAAATTTCATTTGCTCTTCTGGAGTGAGCCCTGCGTAGATAGATGGGAAGGGGTGGAGATCCGAAAGATTCAAGCACAAGGGATCTGACTGAGGTTCTTTCGATTGCATTACAATGCGAGTGGTCGGTCGGGTAGCATGGTGACAATACATGTACTCCCGACAAGCTGTCCCTGGTGAGACGGGTGTGTTGGCATCGGTGACAATGTACACGGTTTGAACAGGGCTGGAACATTGCTGGACTCGATATCTCAAGAAAGCACACCGTTCAGCGCACATGGCCAACGAGATGTTTGGGGAGGGTTCATCGTTGGTTCCGGCAACGACAGATCCATCCTCCAGAAGCAGCAAGGCTACCACACGAAAATTGCTTTGTGCCGGTGGTGACAGTTGAAGACGTAATATGTGACAGGATCTCAAGTACTGCATGTCGACTTCGTCTTGATGAACAGAATCTCTTTGCGATCCAGCACCAAGGCGATTCTGTCGTCTCTGCAGTTTCCACAGAGTCACCAACGATACAGCCGCAACAGTGAAATACAATAGACCCTTGTTTGACGACGCTTCCATGGTGGTCTTCGAGTGAGCTTTACAAGTAATGCCAGCAATGATGCGACGATCTGTCCTGTCCGGCTAGCCGGGTTGAAGCCGCCAAAGCGGTTTAGTAACAAATGTTTAAGCCATTGAAGCTGTGAACAGCTCGGTACTTGGACTTGGCAAAAAGCATTACTCTTAGCAAAAGAGAAAAGAGTACCTGGTACAAGTACATGTGCAGTACCGCTACCTCAGATCATCGCAAGCTGTGTAGTTTCGATGCTACCGGTACAGTACATGTATTTCATCTCTATCCAGCAGAACCGATCACATAAATTTAAAGCAAGGCAAAGGTCCAGGTTCTTTGTTGGGCCACCCAGATCTGGACCCAGGTGCCAGTGCTTCAGTTCTTTCTCCAGCGAAAGGATGATGCAGGGCTAACAGACAAACCACTTGAGAGTGTAATAAGAGCTGCTATGGTACTACCTACTATGATATCGCTCTCGGACGGTTCCAATCTCCTAGTCTACGCATCCAAAAGATATCATACAAGATATTGTTGCCTGCTTTGATTTTCAGGGCGACCCGGAAATAATACAAAAATAGTTAAATCTCCAAGTCAAATGAGTCGTGCTTCAGTTTAAACTTAAATCTGGGACGTCACCGCGACACCAATTCACGACTCATCTTGTTTCCCCACCACTCGTGGGGAAACAAGGATTTATTGTTTGCTCATGAGGAAACAAGAAACTCGTGGGGAAACAGCTTGTTTACCCATGACTCATGGGGAAACAATAAATCCGTGTTTCCCCATGCGTAAACTGCTTGTTTCCCCATGAGTAAACTGCTTGTTTCCCAATGAGAATTTACGACCGCAAGAAAGCCCGACCAATGCACTATACAGGTCTGTATACTCCACTAATGATAGCTCCCGACCACTGTTACACGCTGAACGCTCCTATCGTGCAAGCTAGCTCGAGTAACGCAAGAATGAGATTGATGAACGATTGAATCGATCTCACAAACTCTTCGATACAGTACTAGCTAGTAGTAGCAGCTTTTCGATCTTTCGTTCTTGATATCGACAATCGACAATGGGCAACACCTCTTCCTTTTCGGGCCGCAAACTGCCCAGAATCACCCTTCCAAAGGCTAGCAATGGTGCTGCTATCAAAGCTGGGAAGATAGTGCATCCGGATTTTGAGCTTTGTGCAATACATGGCTCTTAGCCTTATTCGCAACTCGATCCTAGATAGGGTTTGAGTTCGACTCATGACTGAGTCTCTCGTGAATAGTCATTTGAGACAGGGTTCTCAATGACCGCGCTAGTCATACTAGGTTGATGATGAAACATCGCTCTAGATATTTAGCCAGCGTGGAGTATTTCCACGCTACTAGATCCAGGCTAGACAAACCTTCCACGCGTTCCGTTTTAGGATCGTGGAGAGACGTAGGATTACTACCACAACCTACTCTATCACACTTTATAGTCTCCAGCGGGAAGCCAGATCTACGATCCCTTGATGATGATCTCTCTCGTTGATTAGTTTTCATAGCTTTGAAATTCACATGCACACTTCCATTGTCTGAAATGATTGATCCACGTAAACAGATGGTTCAGATTGAAGAGGATTGCTAAGGCAGAGCGAAGTAGCGCTGTCTAGACAAACATTGGCTTATCGGTATACCATGGGTGCCGGGTTTATAATGGATAGGGACGTGAGTCCCGCGCAGAGTCGGAAACTCTCCGGGATGAATTTTATAGGACTTCGTCTCCAGTTCATTACCACGCGCAACCCTAAGCCAACTCTTGGTCGAGGTGTCATCAAACATCTAACTTGTCGCTGTTCAAACATGAAGTGCAAGACGACCGCTTGATGGATCCTGGATGGAGTCCTCACGGCGGTTCGCCCTTGCAATGATGCACGATTCTACTCTGCGTGCAGCCGCACAGTCGTGTCTTCATCGTGACCGCGTTCCAAGTCCGGTTCGAGCCAACTGCGCAAGTACATTTAGGACGTCGCAACGACTAATCCAACAAAACAGATAGGGACACGCCAACGCCGTGTCCCTTCATACAATGTCAACGATACCCTGTGATGTTTATCCCAGTATTGCACCGAAGTACGGTAGCAGTACAAGGTCCTTAACTATAGACGAGTCCAATGACAATGGACTGTACGGCTCAACATGCTACGCCAAGGCGGCACCAGTCTACCAGACTTGGAATAAGTTAACCTAGATATCCCTCGTAGGCATGCCTTATTGCGTGCGGCACATGCTCTTAAACTTCCATCTCATGAGGATGCCGCACTTTAAATTCATTGTTCTCCTTGTCCTGACTTCTGCGCGACCTTCTGTGACCTTATCAGGGGGCCGATGCCAATACACGGTCCTAGCCTTATTCGCGCTTCGATCTAGATAGGGTTTGAGTTCGACTCATGCACTGAGTCTATTGTGAATAGTCATTTGAGAAACAGTGTTCTCAATGACCGCGCTATGCATTTACTAGGTTGATGATGAACATCGCTCTGATATTTAGCCAGCGCTTGGAGTCTTTCCAAGTACTAGATCCATGTAGACAAACCTTCCACGCGTTCCGGTTTTTAGCATGTGGGAGACAGTAGATTATACCAACTACTCTATCACACTTTAGTCTCCCGCGGAACCGATCTACGATCCTCTGATTGTGATCTTCTCTGTTGATTAGTTTTTCTATCCTTCTAATCTCTCTTATAACTTTCATTTCTCAAACTTCAAACACCGAAAGATCTTTAACTAGCGTTTTAGCGTAGTGCATTTCATAACCATGTCATCTGGCGGTTGGAAACCTATTTCTTTCCGTGCGAAGTGGCATACGAATAGAAAGGAGATTTCTTCATTTCCGATCCTGCGCTGTCGCAACATCGCTCAGAATGAGTCATTCGATGCGATCTGTAGACGATGCAAATGCTTAAGGCAGTATGCCGAGTCGAACCGTTAAATAGGAAGAGTAGAACTGCCTAGCCCTTTCCAACAAGTGCTCACACCCAGTCGCAGCGTCTTTTGGGCAGAGTTGCGACATTGGAGACTCGAAGTAGATTCGCTCCACCGTCAATTAGAGTGCTATATATGAAATAGGGCTCACCCTACTCACGGCGTTCCATCACCAACCTCTAGAGAGGTATGAAGTGCGAGGAGAGAGTTTGCAGGCAGCGCAGTATCGAGGTGATGTTCCAGTGGGCGGCACCATTTTTATCATTCCAAGAAAGAGGGTCTGCGATCATCTGTTTCGCGGACGAACAAACGGTCAAGAGAGCCTTTTCCTATCCAAATAAGGACATGCTCTGACTAGATGGATTCAGTGCCTATATCAGACCTGAACAGGGACAACACATCGGCTGTCTCCTCGAAGAACACTATCCATGCCTCGAGGAAAGACGGTACAGAGGTTGCATGGCCTATGTATGTCCCGACTTTCAAAGGAAATGAAGACACGCATCATGACTAGAGAATGTCCGTGCATACATTATGATCAACTCATCCTAACGAACGTCGTCTCGAGATCGCGTTGATGTAGTGGATCATCCCTTTCAAAACTGAAGAGTCAGGATTGAATCCACACTCCAAGTCTCGAGGAAGAACTGAAGTTCTAGCAATTGGACTACTCGAGAGAATCAACCCTTAACTAAAAGATAATAGATGCGATCCAGCTTCGCTTTCTAAGGAAGAAATTCGTAGATTCTTGGATCAATGAACTACAAGGACTGCTCCAAGACAGCAGAGAGTACATCGTTCTGAAACAGACGTGGTTACCCAGTCCCATGACTTGTCATGGACAGAGTACGTGAGTCCCGCGTAGAGTCGAGAAGACTCTCGGATGATATGGACTTCGTCGCAAGTTCAGCGCGTAATCGTGACAAGACTCACCACATCCGTTTCAAAGCAAACCGAATACATTTAGGAACGTCGCCCAACGACTTATCCAGAAAAAACACCGCATAAGAGAAGGACGTGTCCCTCATAAAAAGTCAACGATATTGGTATCTATCAGAACGTTAGTACTCGCAAGGTCCTTACTCAACAGAGAGTCAATACAATGCACTGTACGGCTCCGACATACTACGCCAGTATGAGAAAGTCTCCGATGGGAATAAGGATTACACCCATACAAGGCTGATCCCCTTGTAGGATTGCCATCGTGCCACGCAATGTCTACATCCAATCTCGGAGAGAGGCCCCGACTTTAATTCATATGTTCTCCTTGTCGACTGATGTCGGCCTTCGTGACCTTGTAGGGGGCGAATCATACACGGCTCTTAGCCTTATTCGCCCTCGATCCTAGATAGGTTTGAGTTGACTCTCTTACTGAGTTCTTCGCGAATAGTCATTTGAGCAGGTTTCAATGACCGCTCTAGGTCAACTAGTTGATGATGAAACATCGCTCTAGATTTTAGCAGTGGAGTACTTCACGCTACTAGATAAATGCTGACGAATCTTCCACGCGTTCCGTTTTGGATCGTGGAGTGAGTAGGATTGCTACCCAACCTACTCTATCACACACTACAGTCTCCGCGGGAGTTCAGATTACGATCTTTGATTGTGGATCTCTCTCGTTGATTAGTTTTCATTGCTTTCTATTCCTCTCATAATTTCATTCTCTCAAACTCAAAACACTCGAAAGATCTTTACACTACTTTTATGCATAGTTTGAGTCTCTTGTCTTGCGACGTTACGAGGTGGTTGGCCACGGAGGTTAACGATGTAAATAGATCATCAGAGTCTAGTTGAGCAGCTTCTAGGCAATCATCTAATTGCCGTAGAGTTCATCAGTTGCAAACAATTCTTGTTTACTAGTTAGGAGATATCTTCATCACTTTGGTATGAGAAATCGGAACATGGTTCCTTGATCATCATCCTGGCTAATCCTCAGATAGAGATTTCTCCATCAATGATTGAAATTGTTAGAGGAGTTGTCCTCATTGTCAGATCTTCTGATTTGCCTTGGCAACATGGTTCGAAGTTTGCAAGTGGTTGCACGAGTATCGTCGTCTCGTTTTCTCCGTCATTGTCGAGAGAGAAGAA